GACTACCAGACACTAACAAGAAACATCTGTTTATATTTGTTCTTATATTTCAAGGTATTTTGGAGAAAGCAAACCAAAGTAATTATACTAACAACAATACCTTTTTTTTCATCTGAGAAACACTATAAAAGGAACGTGGAGGTCTAGGTGGTACTGTCTGTCTGTCTTGGATAAAGAAACTGGATCACAGAGTTAAGTGCCTTGGCCAAAGCTACTTGCAAACTTTGTTCTGCTGACAGCTATGGTGCATTTGTTTATATTGATAAACATATATATCTTTATATTTGCTGTAAGGATAGGGCTTATCTTTTGCATATTTGCTCTGCTCAAATGTAGTTGTGAGAGCTGTGATCTTTTCTCACAGTTTTGTAAAATGAATGTCCCATGAAATAATAATAGTATTTGACTGTAGAGACACATCAAAGGAAGTGGCGTTAAGTAATGTGCATAATAAGCAAAACTTCTGGGTCAGTGGAGAAAAGCCTTTGGCAAATGGATTGAAATCAATAAATATAGGTTGATGTAGAGATTAGACAAAGTTGATACAAATGGAATGTATTTGAGAGAAGAGACAGTGGCTAAAGGTTATCTTCAAAAGGTACTCTATTAAAATGGAAAAGTGTATTCTCTTATTGTCACAGCGGAACATATCCCAGCTTTATCTGCTGTTTAATGTTCTAGTAATGCAGATTTCACTGCAGTTTTTGATATATGTTAGAGAATTAATTTCATATTTTTACATACCCACCTCCAGGATGTTTAGAGGTTATGTACTCAATAGCATATTGTCATAGCTTCCACATCTTACTGGGTGTTTCTGGACACCTTTAACCACGGAAATGTTTAACCAGCAAAAGAAATAAGACCTGGAAGATCACCTGAGTATACAGATTCTTATTGTTACACTGAGATCCGTTTCTGAGGTAAACAAACTTTAATCTCTCCATTCTAGTGTCCTAAATATAACTGTTGTAATCATGTCAATATTCATTCACAAACCTGTGTGAATAGATTTTTAAAACCCCAAATTTCACTTTACTGAGCTTTATCAATTTTGATGGGAATGTAGAATTAAGATATGGAAGGTAGGCAGAAAGCAGTTCCTTCCTTTTGATTTCACTGTTATGTTTCTGTATTGGGTGTTCTTTTCTATAAGACAAAATTAAATATTTTGGTATTTATTTCTGTCTTGTTATCAGTAGGTATTAAACTCTGAAATGTGTCTGTAACGCAGGTTGGTTGTACAATCTTTTATGTTTAAGATATTATATTTAAAATATAGGACATATGGACAATAACATTCAGAAATACAGTATTTTGTGTATGTATATGTATTGCTGTATACATATGGATACATATGCATGACACATGCATATACATATGTGTAAATATATACGTAGATGCATAGTTAGCACCACCCAGGAAAAAAAGCTCAATTTCAAATTATACCTCCTCTTTCTAAAGAAAGAGTACTGCTCAGTGCTAAGGAATGTAACAGTGTCCAATTCATAGCAATTTCTGACACAGCATTTAGTATAACCATAGAGAGACATAACAAGCAAAAAGAACTGGAAAATATTTGTATACTTATTAAGTATTAATAAAGCTGATAAAACGCATGACTGCTACAGACATTACGCAACATAGAGTAGTAAGATCTTCTGCTTCTAGCGGATGTGGTCTGAAAGAATAGCAAATAGTTTGCCAGAGTTAGAGCAGAATTTTCTTTTAAAGGCGTAGCATTACTCAGCAAGTTTCATACATAGGACTCTTTCATTTCTTTGGGGATTTTAGATGTTCTATTTTAGCTGGCTACAGAGAGTATATCATTCGTGTTTATTTTTTAAACTGGAAAGGACACATTTTGGGGAAAAAAGCAAAATAATAATAACAACAACAATAATGATACCATGAACTATTTCACTTCTGAAGTTTAAAATGATTTAGAAATGTGATTTGTCCCATGGCAGAGCAGATATTAAAGGTAACCCTTCTGCTAAGTAGCTGGAGAAAGGGAAAAGGAGAATGGCAAACAGTTCAATCAACGTTACCATGAAGAAAAATAGAGCATTGGGCTACAGTCTCTTGCCTCATACAATGGCGCACTCAAGACAGTTTTTGGCCCCTCAGAAATGTTGTTGCCACTTGACACAAATCACTTAAGACAGCAACCCATTTTTTGCCAAGTGTTTCCAGGAAGGATCATGGGACAGAGCATGTTGCCACTTGCTCTGTGTGATTTCTTTCTTTCTCCTCCATCTTTATCGTTGTCTGGGCACAGAGCCAAGGTGTGGGCATTTCAACATTTCACAGCCTCTCAGCTGTGCTGCTCCTTATTCTCACCGCACCCTGGTCCCCACACCTGTGCTTGTCCCAGCCCAGCTTATCTGCAAGACCCTGAGCCTCAGCATGTGCCCATGCTTCAGAAGCGCTGCCGCGGACTGTCTTCTCTGTAGCCGTGCCAGCGACTCGCTGTATTTCTGGCCCATGCTACCGGCCCTCCTCAGCCCCAAGCCTCGCACCTCTGTGCCTGCCCCACATCTGAAGTGGTGCCATGAGTTGCACCTCCTCATTATGCTCAAGGTTCATTCTCATGGTCCTCCCTTGCCTCAGGTCTCACTCCTTCATGCCTGCTTTGCCCCTGGAACTCTGCCCTGCTACCTGCCTTCTCACCACACCTTGTTCCCATCATCCTCCCAGCCCCTAAGCTTTACTCCACCATGTCTGCTCTGCCTCCAAAACAGCACTGGGGCCACAGGTCCTCAGTGCTGCCCTGCCTGTCCTACCACCTCTCTTAGCCCAGGGCCCTGAAGCTCTGTGCTGCTCCCCCACTGACACCACACCTCATCCCAGTACTCCAGGCTCTGTGTCTCCTGTCTTCTCCCTCTCCACAAACTTTGTGCTCAGCCCGATTGTCCTATGTCATGACTGCTTGGTGGCATATATAAAACTGCACGCAGACACTGCTCACACCTCACTAATTTGTGGTTTATTCTCTTCAGATGTACACTGGGTTTATGCATTACTAGGTGAAGTAATCTAAATGTTGGTATGCCAGATAGGCATGAAATTAATTACAGGACCAGGTTTCAACTATCACAATTCTCAGATGGTTCCCAGTATGGCAAGTCTCTGCACTGACCTGTTGTGGCTCACTCTTTAGCTTCTGTAACTGCCTTCTGGAATACCATGTGCTACAGCAGTGGCAGGGCATGCTGCCACTGACCTGGGAAAAGAAATGCTTCCACAGGGCTGAGAAGCTGGTGAATAATCCCTTTAAAGCCTTAAGGACAGGTTGCAGTCTGTCCAGAGGGGTAGGAACTAAGAATACCTTCATTTTTCTGCTTAAGGTGTGTTGGCACCTCTGGCTTAGGCCAAATCTGGCACAGGGTTACACTGCCAGGGTCACAGTTACATTCCACAGCCAAGAGGAAAGGTAACTGACGGTGGTGAAAAAGAAAAAGACAACAAGAACATTGAGAAAGATGTGCAGAAGTGTTTATGGATAGATTGTCATAAATGCATAGTTACTCATCCCTTTGCTGCATCCCAGTACCTGCAATCCCAAACTACGCACAGCCGGCTCCTTCAGGAAGCATTCAGTGTTCTCCCCCCACAATGCTCAGCCTGTGCCCTGCCACCACAGGAGAGGCCATGGTGGGGTTGGCAGTGGGCTGCAGGAAGCACTGTGTGGGCTTCAGTAAGGCTCTAGTTGGACCTGTTGTCCTTCTCCCTCTACCGCCACGACTTCTTTGTACCCTAGTTTGGTACAATCTGTGCAGGTGGGAGTTCCCTTGATTTAAATACATTCTTTTTAAGATAAACTTCTTCCAACAGGGTTGAGAAAGAAGAGCAAGGCCATGAGCTGTCACAGCTGTCAGACTTGTCAAAGAGGGCTGCAAAAAGAAATGGAGAAAAAGAGTCAGGAAAGAGCAGTGGAAAAATAGAGCTGAGCATATGAAGAAGGGCTTTTGCTTTCCTGACGTGCTACTAACAGCTAAAACCAAGTGAGAATTACAAAAGCAGATGATTAAGTATTTTCTGTATTGTATTCTTTATGGCCTGACCTTCTTACCCTAGACTGAGTCCACTGATAACTGTGGTTATCGTTATTCCTAAAATACAAGTACTCTTAAACTACAAGAGATTTGTCTCTCTGAATTTCTTCTTGTCATTATGGCATTAAGTAAATTTTACATATTTCTACCTTATTTTCTTTTTTTTTTTTGGTCTGCTTAAGTACATGAAAGTATGAAGTCCTTTCTAGTTTCAGATTTGACATCATAAAAAAGAGAGTTCTCAAATACTATCTAAGCACATACATTTTTGATCATCAGAAGAAAACAAAGCCGTCTTTATTTCTGCCAATAGGGTCCCTGACCTTGACATATACCAGAAAAACAGACACTTTGTCTTCTCATCTTGTTGTGACATGTCCTATGTTACTTTAAATCACTATCAAGGACCGTCAAATCAATTAGGGTCTGAAATGCAGTTCTAGTGGTGTCCGGTTCCTTCCTAATAAATAGCTACAGTTAGAGTCTTAAATCTCCAATGCAAATCCACAGTCCCTTCAAACTGTGAGATTCATTTGGCAGAGAGGAGTTTCAGTTAAGTTTCAGACTATGCAGGCTTTGAGAGAGAGTAAATAATATATTTTTATTTTACAGAAACAAGTCTGGAGTGAACATTTCAATTTTTCTTATAGTATTTTGTTAGTGCATTGAGAACATTTTTGTATTAACAGAAGTATTTAATGAATGTTTAACTCTTAAAATACTTTGGCTGCAGTCTTATTAAAACAAAGTAGATCCATGTCCACTCACCCAGTAATGCAAAAATCAGAATGGGGAATGCTGTCATTAAAACATATATTTTCATCACAAGTGAAATATTGACATTTTCAGGGTTCTGAAAGAAATAAGTGCCAGAATGACAAAATACCATATTTTGTCATCTTCAGTCAGAAAAAAAAACACATTGAAATATTCATGAAGAAAAACATTTAATATCCATTTGCTTACATTTCAAGTCAATTCACAATGAAACAGTATTCCCTTCAGTGTCTTCAGGGAGATGGAATTTGAGGAGTTTCATGTCCCCATTCTCTGCATTATCTAGTACAACTGTATTTCTTAAAATGTATCACACAAGTGTGTCAAAGGGGATCACCCTTTGCAAGTTCCATCAGTTGCATCCTGCAGATAACAGCACTGGCTCTGATGCCAGGGATGAATTTGGCGTTGTGTCTTCTGCAGTGGCTCCAGTGAACCAAGTACCATAGGGACTGGTTTGTAAAAATGTCGTGTTAGGTTGGAAAGATGTTTTTGTCCTTGCTGGAGAAATACAACTTTTCAGAAGCCACCATTACTTACATATGGTTCCTCAAGCCTCACTTCTCATAGTGTGTTCAGGTAACAATGTCCTGCTAGTGGCAAAGCAGATAACGATTGCGATCATCCTTAGCGTATGTCTGAAAAGAGGCCGTGTCTCATGTTTGTTATTCCATCTTTTCCACTGCACCACCTCCTCCATCTGAGACATCTTCTATGTCTGATGAAGTTAGTCAAGGCAATGACTCAATTTTGTTATGACTTCTTAAGGGCTACATGCATAACATAATATAAACATTTTGTATTTGCTGCTAATGATAATTCATCAAGTTGTTATTTTTGGCAGTCATGATTTTTCCAGAGGAATAAACACTTGCCTTAAATTGAACAAGGCTGGACTCTGTATAGTATAAATGAAGGAGAGTTAATGACATCTCTTGTTTCCAGTTTTATGGTTTTACTTTGTTTTGTTTTAATTTTAAGCCATGAACAGGGAAGACTGTTTGGAGCAGCTGTTTTGTATGGAATTTACTTTAGAGATGATTGTTAAGTAAATATTTTTATTGTGTTTAAAAGCCTTGAAGATACTGCATAGCTCCTTAATTCATTATTTAGTCTTTTGGCCCAATTCACTTTAGACATTTTTACACTGTTTCCTAAATCAGCCAACAATTAACTGACAGAGGGAGTAAGATGATTACTGACAATTCAGGGAATGCAATAGTATCATAACAGAAAAAGATGGGAAAGAAAAAGATTATCAGGGTAATTCTAGGGACCAGGAATAATCTGGAGGATAATGACAGAACAATATTTTGGCTATTAAACAGACATCCTGGGTAAGTGCTGAAAATGTGATCAGATCACCTTGGTCAAAACTGGTCCAGACTCAATTTCAGAGAAAGTGCTGGCTTTCTGGTGAAGAAGGAAGGGACCACTTCACCAATTAAAAATTTTGCTTCTGTGATTTCTGTGACATCATTGATACCAGACACGGACCATATTATATGTCTGTCTTCAAGATACAGGGTTTGCTCCTACCTGTTCATTTTGGCGTTCTCTTAAAGCCTTAGAGCAGAACAAGTAGCATGGCAAATTCATTTTATACAGTTCGTGAAATGTATGTTCAGTTAGAGTACCCAAGGTTACCAGACTTTGGACCAGACCCTACGTTTTCAAAGCACCATGGCTTGGGGGAGATGGAACATGAGGAATGGTTATCATCTGCTCCCTTCCAGAGAGGTAAAGTCAAGCCCTGGAATGTATTCTGGGGTTGCTTGTCTGTCTCAGAGGGACCTTTGCAACAGGGAAAACACTCGTCTTTGTACTGTGCCCCATCATTGCATGGACGAGCAGAGAATTTAGTCTAGATTAGTGTTTGCAGCCTTTTCTAGTAAGGTGGCTGCTTGACTGCATTGAGAAAAGCCATTACATAACACACTATTACTTGGCATTTTGAGGGAATATAAACAAGCACTTATTGTTTGGCTAAGGACAGTGTTATTGCTTTACAATATTACAGTTTAGTTGTTCTACACATATTAATGAAAAATACAGGGGATATAGACGTAATGTGACTTTTGGGCCTGTGGGAACTGTGGACAGTCTATGTTTGCTAGGAAGCACTGACACAGCTCTGCCAACTTTGTGCACTGCTGTGCATACATGAGGTGGACAGAGGAATAATCTTTTTGCAGTCATTTTGCACATTAACTTCTGATGTCTTGCTGACCTGCAGTATCCCTGAGTAACAGGCTGATTACTGCCAGCCTGGAGTTCAACTTGAAGTACAGGCATACACACAAGGTTTACTTTTATTAGACTTCACCGAGTATATTTGTCCACTTCATCTCTTGTTACAGCTGGCGTCAGTCAATTGTAACTCTTGTAAAAATTCCAGCCTGGCAGTTTCAGAGACATTTTCTGTTTGTCCAACAGGCTGTAACAACAGGGTTACCCAAGTTTAGACCACCTGAGTCATGCAAGCCCCATCTGATGGGGCTGTCAATAGGGATGAGTCAGTCTCTATCACCTATTTTTCCTTTATCCACTTTTCATTTGTTTTTTCTTTCCCAAATTTGGTGTAACAGGCTAAAAAAGATGAAGTAAAACACAAAAGGAGTATATTAGAAAAAAAATAAATCTGTTGCATATTC